TTATGAGCCAACCCTGAGCCCCCTCCATTCCTCATCAGGACGCCCTCCCAAGAAACTGCCCTGGACTGCTCACACTCTGGGTACCGCAATTTTATTATTTTTTTTGTTTCGTTTTGAAACAGGGTACCCTTGGCTATCCTGGAACTCACTCTGTAGACCAAACTGGCCTCGAACTCACAGAAGTACGCCTGCCTCCGCCCCAACTGCTGGGATTAAAGGCGTGTGGCAACACCACCCGGCCTTTTCTTTTTTTTTTTTTTTTTTAAGACTTGTTTATTATTTTATGGACATCCTCTTTTTTTTTGGCTTAGACGTATGTCTGTGAGAGCATGGGGCCCCGCAGAACTGAAATAACAGTGAGCTGCCACGTGGGTGCTGGGAACTGAACCTCGGTCCTCTGGAAGAGCAGCCAGTGTCCTTAACCGCTGAGCCACCTCTCTGTCCCCTATTCCCTATTGATTTACTTCTAAGACAAGGTCTCACTGTGTAGCCCTAGCTGTCCAGGAACTCCTCAGACATCTCCCTGCCTCCACTTCCTGGGATTAAAGGGGACTGCTACAGTCTGGCTTCATTTTTTAAATTATGTTTTTTGTTCTGTGTGTGTGCGCCTTTGTGTGTGCATGCCGGTGAGTGTGCACGAATGCCGTGGTACAAATTGGAAGGTAATTTGCAGGAGTCTTTTTACACCACCTGGGTCCTGAAGACTGAACTCAGGTTGTAAAGCTGCCAGCAACTAATTGCCTTGACTTACTGAGACCTGGATTCTGTAGCCAGCACCCGTCTCTACCCTCTGCCAGACCCCTTCCTGAGTCAGCCTTACACTCGCCTCCTGGGAGGTACACCATGTCTCAGGGCTCTTGTTACTTGTGTTCCTGCTGGATCTCCCTAGTCCCCCGAAACCCCACATCCCATACGTCTCCATCTATCTCATGATCACCATCCCTGTCTCTGTCCAGAAGACTCTCTGTCTGTCTCATGATCACATCCCTGTCTCTGTCCAGAAGACTCTCTGTCTCATGATCACATCCCTGTCTCTGTCCAGAAGACTCTCTGTCTGTCTCATGATCACATCCCTGTCTCTGTCCAGAAGACTCTCTGTCTGTCTCATGATCACATCCCTGTCTCTGTCCAGAAGACTCTCTGTCTGTCTCATGATCACATCCCTGTGTCTGTCCAGAAGACTCTCTGTCTATCTCATGATCACATCCCTGTGTCTGTCCAGAAGACTCTCTGTCTATCTCATGATCACATCCCTGTCTCCTGTCCAGAAGACTGTCTGTCTGTCTCATGATCACATCCCTGTCTCTGTCCAGAAGACTCTCTGTCTGTCTCATGCCATCACCATCCCTGTCTCCTGTCCAGAAGGCCCGCTTTGTCCCCACTGTCACTCACCAGTGTGAGTCCTCATGTGACGCTTGAGGTCGAAGGCGTCGTGAAAGCCCTTCCCACAGCAGTGGCACACGTGGCGCCGTGCTGGGCTGTGGCATTTGAGGTGCCGCGTCAGCATGCGCTGCAGTGGGAAAGCTTTGGGGCAAAGTGGGCAGCCAAGTGTCCCCGGCGCCCTGGGAGCAGAGGTCAGTGTTCCCTGTGAGGTCTGCCAGAGGGTGCAGGGTTAGCCTGGCCAGCTGGAGCCTGCCCAGGCTTTGCTACTCTGCAAACAAGAATCTTGGGTGACCCCACTGTTTAGGACCACTAGAAGAGGGTCTGAGTAGTGGGGACAGGTGCCACCCTCTCCCCAACACCTCCCCTAACCAAATCCCATCACTCCGACCTTCATGGCCCTCCATGGCCAAGAACACACTTCGCTAATACGAGCTTTCCTAGTTTTATTGTCTGTGCCTCCAGCTCCCAACAGGAAGAAGCTCCGTAAGGAAGCGGGCTTCTGTTCCTTCTGCTGGATACTGTGCCTGCCTCTCAGATACTGAGATGACCTCGGGCACACACAACTTTACCTAGCACTTTCCTTCCTTTCAAGGACAGCATAGCTGACCGTCTCCTGGGAGGTTAAGGCGACAGAGCTCCCACCCCCATCTCTGTTACCTTATCCAGTGTTCTGATATAAATCACTTTCTACTTAGCTTGCACCCATTGGACCCAGGTCCCTAGAGCAGGCCCCTAAACTGCCCACCCACCCTAGGAATGTGGTTCTTATCCGAGACGGGGGCGAACTGGCTGCCGGGAAGAACCTCAGGTCCAGGAAGCAAGTGCACAAGGACCTGCTGTAAGGGGCAGCCAGCTTCCCGTATGCAAGAGGAAATTCATTCCTGTCCTGGCTGCCAGCTACAGACTCACCACTTCCCAAGTGTCTCTCAGACCAGGAGATCTGTGCGCTGGTGGCACTGCCAGGCTGCAGCAGTCTGGGGAGAGAAGCCAGATGGTGATGCTCTGTGTCTCCCTGGCCCTTCACCTCCAGGCCCAGTGAGGTGCATACCTGGGACATAGGCATCTCCCCTGAGCTGGTCAGGCACACGGCTCCAGTTAGGTGGTTGAGGACGCCGACTCCTCACAAGGAAGACCCTGGGCATTGCTTTCAGGACGGCACAGCTATAGTTCCTCTCAGGACTGCCTCCCCTATATGCTGCTGCCTGTCAGACCTCAGCCCCAGAACAATCCAGAACTAGGTGAGGTCAGGAGACCCACGAAGGAGCCTCATTCTCTCCATGCAAATTCTGGGACAAGCCTGGGGAGCAGCCTTAAGTGGCTCTAGTTACCTCTGCTGGGGGGGTGGGGGACCGCCATTATGGTTCCTTCCCTGTAGGGGCCAGGCTCCCAAGGAGCTCTGCAATCTCCAGGGCCTGAGACACTAGAGGACCACCCCCACACCCCTAGGAGAGGTGTGAGTGAGAGAAGAGCCTAGCTTAGAGAGAAGGAAGGGACATGGCCCCAGTCCTGGCAGGGTGAAGGACTACAGGGACTGTTTACCAGGCAAATCAGTCCCGTGTCCAGTCCCCATACATACACACACACACACACACACACACCAGCCTGCCTGGTTATTCAAATCACAGCAGCTGTCCAAGGGGTCGGGTGGGGACAGCAGTGATTGTTCTCTGTCACTGGTGTAGGGTGACAGCAGATTGGTGAGTTAAAATCAAGATCCAGGCTGAGCTTCCTCAGGCAGGAAGCTCTCATCTTCAGATTTCCAAAGATGACATGGCATCTCTCAGGCTGAGGGTATTAAAATGCTGCTTTGTCAACAGTCCAGCTAGTGAGTGCACGGGACTCCTCCCATCCCTGGAGTTGCCAGGAACTGACCACACTCCGGGTAGGCTGTTCTAGTTGGTCCTTATCTGATGTCTGAATTAGACGTCAAGAATTGTGAACATTTTCCCCACAGATTTATTTATTTATTTAGACAGGGTTTCTCTTTGTAGCCTTGGGTGTTCTGGAACTCACTATGTAGATCAGGCTGGCCTCAAATTCACAGATCTGCCTGCCTCTGCTTCCAGAGTGCTGGGATCAAAGGTGTGCACCACCACCACCACCACCACCACTGCCTGGCTTTCTCTGATTTATCTACCTAACCATCATTTGAACTTGGGCTATAGGCAGACCTTACTTAGTTCAGCACTGAAAATGAGGACACCAGGTCACAGGGGAGACAGCAGTGACATCCAGAATGGTCAACCATGAAGAACAGAGTGATCCAAGTTGGGATAGGGCAAAACTGGGGGAAGAGAACCCCTGGAACCAATTTTGAAAGTTCTAATCCAGCCTAGGAGTTCCGGTAGGATTGGTGAAAGAAGAGGACTCAAGAGAAAGGGAAAGGTACTCTGAACTTAGATCAGGAAGCCTGCATGCCAAGTGCCATCTCAGTACCCCCTGCTGTTTAAACAGAGGGTCTCATGTAACCCAAGTTGCCCTTTATGTAGCTGGGGATGAAACTGGACCCCTGATTCCAGCCAAAGGGAATAGTCGTTCCAAAGGTTTGGGGAAGAAATTGTACATTTCGTTTTTTAAAATTATGGTAGAGGGGGCATACACAACCACATGTCAAGGTCAGGGGACAAACCTTAGGAATTGGTTTACTTTCCACCTTTACGTGGTGTACTGGCTAGTTTTCTATCAACTTGGCACAAACCAGAGTTATTTGGGAAGGGGAAACTTCAATTGAGAAAATGCCCTGACTAGATTGGTCAGTGGGCAAGCTTCTGGTAAACATTCTTGATTAATGTGGGAGGGCCCAGATCACTGAGGGCTGCTACTCCTGGGCAGGAGGTCCTGGGAGCTATAAGCAGGTTGAGCAAGCCATGAAGAGCAAGCCAGTAAGCAGCACCCTTCTAGGGCCCTTGCCTAAGTTCTTGCCACCAGGTTCCTGCCCTGACTCTCTTAGATGATGGACTATGATGCGGAAGTGAAATAAACCCTTCCCTCCTCAAGTTGCTTATTATGGTCTTGGTGTTTTGATTTGTTCTTTTTCTGAGACAGGGTTTCTCGGTATCCTTGGCTGGCCTGGAACTCACTCTGTAGACCAGGCAGGCCTGAAACTCAGAGACCCGCCTGCCTCTGCCTCCTGAGTGCCGGCACTAAAACTGTGCGCCACCATGCCCAGCTGGTTTTTGTGTTTTGTTTTGTTTTGTTTTTTCTCTGTGAGCACAGCTTTATTGGATAACATTGGCCATCCCCAGGTGGCTCTGGATCACTAGTGTGACAGGATGAGATGGTGTCTCACTGAAGAGATGGAACCCTTCTTCATGTATAGGACAGTGACTGCCACTAGAGGGAGTCAGAGGGGGGGGGGGCTACCCTGGACCCAGGGAAGAGATTACCTGCATCTGCACAGCTATGGATGCCATTGCCCTTTCTTGGGTCTGTGGCTGTCAAGGGCACTGTGTGGGTGGGAGAAGTTTCTTGTGGAGACCAGTGAGGCTCACCTAGCCCCCAAACAGCCTCCTCATGGAGCTGCTTGAGAGCTGGAGGGACATCAGAGCCAGGTTCATCACACTGTGTCACCCCAGTAAAGACAGGCCCTGAACCCCCTCAGAACCCCGCGGAGCTGGCCTCAGGCGCCATCATCACCTGCCCATTGCTGTCCCAGGTGCCATCAGGACTGCAGCAGGGTCCTCTTCAAGTCTCAAGTCCGGCCAGCCTGTGGGGTCACCTGCAAAGTCCCAGTGCTGGTAGGATGGTGTCTTGCTGGGTGTGGCAGCACCATCTTCTCTGATGCACCCTTCAGCCATGTGAGCTTCTTAGGCAGGCTGGAGTTGGCTTTCGTCACCATGTCATGCTCAGTCTTCTTCCGGATCCCCACGTCCAGGGTCTTCAGCTTACTGCACGACGCGTGCCTTCTTGGGAGCGATGACTCAGCTGCCTTTCCTCGGCCCTCGGCTCTGCTCCCCCGCAGCCGCTGCCTTGCTTTTAGGTTTCTGAGACTGCAACTTGCGCTGTCCCTGCGCCATGTTTCACCACGAGCCGAGCCGGAGGAGCTTGTGTTTTTTGTTACTTTTTGTCTTTTTTTTTTAAACTTATTTTTATCACATCGCCAGAAACCCTAAAACATGTGGGCTCAAGGGATTGAACTCACATCACCAGGCTTGTGTGGCAAACGCCTTTACCCGCTGAGCCATCTCACCACCACCACCCCCTTAACAAAAGGAGGGGATTGTGTAGCCCAAGCTGGCTTCCAACTTACTACGTAGCCAAGGATGGTCTTGAACTTGTGCTCCTCCTCCCTCTCCCTCTCAAGTGCTGGGATTGCAGATTGCAATGGCCATCATGCTCATTCTCTGTAGTACTAGGGATGGGCGCCAGGGTTTGGTGTTTGCTAGGCCAGAACTCTTATTGAACTACATCCCCACCCCGGGAAAGATTTCTCTGCGTCCCTTATATTAGATTTGAGTGTAAAGTTCTCCTCCAAAGGTTCGAGGGCTAAAGGGTGGTTGGTCTCATTGGCTGGAGAATCTCCATGAGAGCTGATTAGGTCATGAGAGCTCCAAGTTCAGCAGCAGATCAGTCCATTGATGGATTCATAATTTGATGGCATTCTTGAGACGGTAGCAACTAAGAGGAGGGGTCTGGTTGGAGGAAGGGGGGCACTGATAAATGTACCTGGAAGAGCATGTCCTGTCCCCAGACATCTGACTCTCTGTTGCTGGCCACAAGGTGAGCCTGCTTTCCCTGCCCCAGCTCCTGTCATGAAGTTCTGCTTTGCCCACAGCACCGTGCAGCCAACCACAGCTGGAAATCCCAAGCCTAAACAAACCTTTCCTGCTTCTCAGGTACTTTCCTACTGACAGGACGGTGACTTAACACGGGAGTCAGCCTTCTAGATTGGTCATCGTGGGGTACAAGGGAAAGAGCTTGCCCCTCACCTGCACGCTGAGCCTTGCCACGTTTTCTCTGTACATCCTAGAGGGTAGAGCCTGGGCACGTCATCTCTCGGGCCTTTAAAAAGCATGACTTTTGTGTGTGCAGGCGTATGTGTGAAGGTGCATGTCAGTGCAAGCGCCTGCGGTGACCAGAGGCATCGGATCCATGGAGCAGGTGTCACCAGTGCTTGTGAACAGGTGTGGGTGTTGATAATGAAATTGGGATCTTCCGAAAGAGCAGTTAACCATGGAGCCAATGCTTCAATCTGTTTTTTGTTGCTTTTCCGCTGATGCAATCCAGGCTGGTGTCAAACTTATGTAGCTGAAGCTGGCCTTGAACTCCTGATTCTCCAGTCTCCCCCTCCCAAGTGCCGACTAACAGAATTACAGGTGTGTAATTTGGCAGTTGGGTCTGGGCAGGCTCTGAGTTTCAGCTGACTTGGCTGAGAAATGGGGCTGAAGTGGCTCCATGTCACACCGACAGGACTTCATAATGATTGGTGTCCCTTGTGTAGGTTGATGTCTCACTACCTAGGAACTGCCCTGATATCGGGGGAGCCAAGTGTGGGCCCATAGTGGTGGCAAAGGCTGGGCTGCCACACTAACGGGGGAGAGCTATCTGCTCAGGGGCCCTATGTCCACAGCTGGCTCCGTTGTTGCTAGGAGACAGAGTCAAGCTGCTGTCTGTACAGCACTACCCTTCAGGTCCAGCAAGGCTGTTTTTTTTTTTTCCCCCAAGATTTATTTATAATGTGTACAGTGTTCTGCCTGCACGTATCCCTGCAGGCCAGAAGAGGGCACCAGATCTCATAAAGGATGGTTGTGAGCCACCATGTGGTTGCTGGGAATTGAACTCAGGACCTCTGGAAGAGCAGCCAGTGCTCTTAACCTCTGAGCCATCTCTCCAGCCCAACAAGACTGTTTTCTTTGAGACAGGGTTTCTCTGTGTGTAGCCCTGGCTGTCCTGGAACTCGCTCTGTAGACCAGGCTGGCAATGAACTCACAGAGACCCACCTGCTTCTGCCTCCCGAGTGCTGGGACTAAAGACCCATGCCACTACTGCCTGGCTGTTCTCCTCTTAATCAGAGCTACTGTGACTATCCACAAGGGGCCTTCCTTTATAAGAGTGGATGGGTTGGAGCTGGGTGATGGCCCTGGCCTTTAGGAGACCCCTCTGCTGGGTTCCTTTTTACAGGGACTTGGGACAGTATGAGTGAGGTCTGGAGTGGCCTTCTATGTCTGCAGTTGGCTCATGGGATGAAGCTGGATAGTTCTTTCAGATGAAGGCATCACAGGGCCCAGCAACTAGGTGGCTTGGGGCTGCTGCAGATTCTTCAATGGTATTTGTCTCCTACTGCCCCTGCTGCAGATGTGACAATGACAACCCAGACCCCGCCGGATCCAGTGTGAATTTAGCCTAGGGCCATCAGCCAGGAGTGTATGTACTGAGGACAGGGTCAGACCCGTGATGACCCCAGCGGCTCCACTGGGTTTGAAAGCACCTGTAGAGTCAGGAAGGCTAGCTCCTACTGGGTGGTGGTGGCACACGACTTTGATCCCAGCACTGGGGAGGCAGAGGCAGGGGGATGTCTGTGAGTTCAAGGCCAGCGTGGTCTACAGAGTGAGTTCCAGGACAGAGAAACCCTGTCTTGAAAAAAAACAAAAACAAAAACAAAAAGCAAGCAAACAAGCATAGAATCCTAGCTCCTCCTAAGGATGGGCTCCAATGGGCAGAGAGCACACATGACCCCTGCAATAGCTCAGTATGCTAGGGACAGGCTACATGGGATGCCAGGCCTGGCATTCATCATTCCCGTTAGTCCCATGTTCCCTGCTGGCAGGTGCACAGAACAGGGCCTAGAGCTGAAGCAAAGCCGAGTCTCCAGGCTGGTTCATCCATGCGGACCCTTTACCCCCCCTCTCTCTGCATCCACTGAGGAGGGCTTTACAGACAGGACAGGTTCCAGAAAACTATTTAATTTAGTCAGTTTATTTGCTTTAAAATCAATCTCTGCTGAGCAGCGAGGCTTTGGTGGAGGGGCTGCCGGCTTTTAGTCGCCCCTTGCTTTCCTCTTCACAGCCTGCACCAGCAGCTCTGAGTAGTGTTCCAGCAGGGCCTGCAGGTTTGGGCTGGCCAGGAGACACAGTGTAGGTGAGGAAGGCAGGCTGGGGCTAGGCAGTGTCTGGGGGAGGGCAGTGTTAGCTGCAGCCATCCAGTTGCTGGCTTCCAGCTGGCTGTGGATCCACTGAAAGGCGGAGGCCAGCTCCGTCTGTGCCTGCTGCTGTTCGGCACCCAGCTGGTTGCTGGAGACCAACTGTAAGGGATGGCAAGCTTGTCAGGGGACATGCAGTACTGCCAGGGAGCCCTGCCCATTCTCCCGCACTGCCCTGGGCTCCTTAGCTTACCATTCGGTAAAGGTCAAGGGCTTCTTGGAAGACAGCCTGCAGCCTGTGCGAGACTGATCTTATACTGCCCAGCTCAAGGAGTGCTGGGGGCAGGACCTCAGCTGGGAGCCCAGGCTCCCCACAGTGTCCAGGGCTGCCCGGCATATCTGGGGGTAGAGAAGAGTGAATGACCAAGATAGTTTGACTTTCTGGATGGCTTGAGAGAGGCCAGGTGGCTGGGCTAATGACTGTTGGCCCTGGACCACTTTCTTCAGTCCCCAAGGCCTCTCTTCCTCACAGGGTTCTGCTGGATAGAAACTTCTCCTTAAATCATGTTGTTGCCATCCTAAAATTGAAGCTACACTGCTCTCCCCGCCCCTTTCCCCCTGCCTTATTTCTCTCAGTAACTTGTATCACCTTGTGATACGTCTGACACTTTGGTCTGGGTATCTCCCCTAGCGTAGGAATCAACTCTCTCGTTTGTCCTCTTGTTTGTCACCATGTCTCATGTGCCCAGGACCTAGAACAAAGCCCAGCATGTGCTCATTAACTATGTGAATGAATGAATGAACGAATGGATGAATGAGTGAATGAATGAATGAGTGAATGAATAACACAGTCCCTCTTGTGGCTAGGGTGTGTGTGCCACTTGGCAGAGGAGTCGAGCGGCACAGGGGACAGGCTAGGGCTCTCTCTATCCGTGTCCCATGGTAGTACTCACCAGGGGTGGGCTCCAGGAGAGCAGCGGTACAATTAGGCACCCTAGACCTGGTCTCTAGAAGTTGGAGGCTGTTGGGATGGCCAGGAGGGATGAGGGGCCCAGAGGCTGAGGTCCTTGGGAGAAACACAGAGCTGTGGAGTCTTGGGGTGCTAGCATCTACAGGGCTGGGTGCTGGGAAGCTGGCTACTGTGGCTGTCACACCAGGCTGGACATCCACAGAGTCCTGAGACCACACACATGTGATGGGTGGCTCCAGTGGGGGTGAAGACAGGAGCTGGCCACAGACACTGGATAAGGGCAGTTTGAGGCTGGCTCGGGCCTCATGATTGCCCCAGGAAGGCATGGCAGGATCCTGGCCTTCGATGCTAGAAGTGAGAGTCACTGTGGTGGGGATGGCCTGGGGTTCCTGGCCCAGGGAAGCCAGTTCTCCCATGGATAAGGGTTTGTGAAGTGACCTGGATGGCTCAGGTGTCACAAGGCCCTCAGTGTCCCCAAGAGACATGCTACGTGATATCTTGGCATGTGAGCTAGTCGTCGTCTCCAGGTAAGAACATGTAGACGGGGCACAGACACTCTGATCCAGGCCTGTGATAGGTACAGATGTGGGTGTTGGAGGCTTCCTGTCTGTGGGTGGCACCGAGGAGGAAGAGACACAGAAGGCCAGGCCTGTGAGGGAAGGAGCTGCAAAGGAAGCAGATGGCTCACTTGTACACGAGTCTCAGAGCCCTGCCCTAGGAATGCTTCACCATCTGAACGGACAATTCCATGGCTCAGCTGGACACCCAGGGCTGTTCATCTCGGATTGGAGACATTTACTTGGTAGATACAAGGCCTCTGGAGGCTCCTCAGCCTTCTGCCCAGAGAGGACCTCCAAGCCCAGCTCTGTGGTAAAGACAAGGCCTCCTGGCTTGCAGCCCTGGGTCCTAGGCGTGACCTCAATACTCACATTGGTCCCATCTGAGGACATGTAGCCAGTACCTGCTCTCAGGGACCCTGCTCTGGACTGGCCGCATCCTTGTCCTGTAGGCTTGACCTCTGGAGACTTCCTAAGGTGAAGGGGCAGCCGGGGAGGGAAGCTGGGGAAGAAGCCAGGTGGAAAAGAGAAGTTCACATAGCCTGACCCGAGGGTCACGGAGGGGCGTGGCTGAGGAAAGGGAAATTGGGGGTCACTGGCTTCTACCTGGAGGCCTTCTGGAGTCGTGAGAGAAACTGGGTGGAGATGCTCAGCTGGGGATGGAAGAGATGGTGGTCAGCCTCTGAGATCTTCATGTCTGCCACTGATCCATGAAAGAGTTCTAGGAAGACCAATGGAGCCTCAGGCCTGTCCACATCTCACGTGCCTCAAGTGTGAAGTGCGGCTCAAACCATCTGCTCTTGCCTTCACTTCCCTATCCAGGGCCGTCACAGACCACAAAGGTGCCTGCTTGCTGCCCATTCACCCTCAGGTGGGCTCGGGTCTTTGGACTGATGGAGGAGGTCCTAGGATAGGAGTCGATACACTATGCCTGGCCAGCACTAGATACACAGACACACACACACACACACACACACAC